CCGTACCATGTTTTTTTTAAATAATTATTTTCTGATTAATTTATAAATTAAACCCAGTTACATTTACTAATTGGGATCTGTGCACTAATCATGTCTTAGGTTTTGTACTACTACAGTAGTAAATGTCCTACTTTAAGTCAACTATTACAATTAAGTCAACTCACTATATATTTACCCCCTACCTCCATTCACGTGACACTTGCAATTTTCAAACTCTCCAATCTTTTTTGGAACATTTGTTACCAATATTATGTGTTATTGTAGAGAGTAATCATATACTTCCTTCATTCTATTAATATTACAATAAGGATGAAATTACGTATTTTAAAACACATTTATATGCTAAATATCTATATTTGTGTATAAGTAAAAATTATAAAAAATTGATATTGTGAAAGTATTTTATAAGACGAATCCAACAAGATCCCACGTGATTATATTTTTCTTAACGTATAAACATATTATATGGTCAAACAAGAGCAATGAATAGTGCAAAAAATCCATTATTGCAACATTATTAGAACGGAGGAAGTATATTATTGGAGTACTTTCTTCTTTTGGGATTTTATAGATAATCGAGTAATGTTACTTTTAAGATATTTAAAAAATAATTGTGTTTTTCATATAAAATATATAGTCGGAAAATAAATTATATGAGTATTTTCAATCAAGGAAAATTACAAGTCATTTTTTCAGTTAGGAACCAAATTAATTAATGAAGTAAATGTATAATTTGCATGCATTAAATGATAATCATGAAAAACCCACATAGACATAAATAAATGATTCATTTAAATGGAGATTTAGTTGCTTTCTTATATTTATTTGTTTTCAAGACTTTTTCAATGGTCTCTTCACCATTGATCTAGAGCTCCATCCATTCCTCTTTATTCTTTATATTTTAATTTTTATAGCTGTCATGCACATTTTAATAAGATATGAGTAATTAAAAAATAAAATAAAATAATACCTTGTCCTCTCTTTTCTACTGTTACATTTTCACTTATAATATATATTTGGTCAAAGATGTGTATATATTGAGGCCGTAAAGGTCAAAGTATAATCACAAAAAAGGACTGAGAGAATACTTAGAAAATATATTACAAGTCGAATTTTTAAAGGTTCTATATTCATTATATATATATTTGATATTTAAAATAGTGATGAGTTTTAGTGGTCAAAATTTGAAAAAGTGGACCATAATAATCAAAATGTAGAGAATAAAAAAATAGGAAATAATTTATAATGCTACCCATCCCTTATTAATTAATTTGCATTCAAAGTTTTTGTAAATATCTTGTCACGCTGTATAAATGCTTGATTAATTGATTATATTACTAATTGTCTCATCCAACATGACTTCAACTTCAATAATTAAATTTTATCAATGTAGCACATTTTATATGAGAACAATAAGAACTCTCTAGCAAACTAGCTTATCGATCAATTGTAGATAACTCTCTTCAAATTAGTTAGGTGTTATACTCTTACTACTATTTGAAAATGACAAGCAATTATATTATATTTAATTTATATATGTGTCCTATTTTTAATTGTATGACAAGTTTATATGTGTACTATATTTGTTTAAAAGGGATCATGATTTATAGACTTTGTCAAATATTTATAATTGTTAAACAAACAACTTTTACATATTGAACAGGCCAGGGAACACATCAAACTTAATTGCCACGCTTAAACATACAAGATAGTGTACAATTTGGGCAAGATAACAATTGAATTGAAGTAGGTTTATTTAAATCTTTGTAGTAGGAGAGAAAAACTAGCCTGTCATCTTAAAAGGAGTAACGAAATTTATATTTGCATTAAAAAGAAAATCCTATCCAAAAACTACTATGTATGGTACGGTGTAAGATACAAAAGTATTAACAAGAATTGAATATAAACATAGGAGATCTTCACATGAGATAAACACCTATAATGCATCGGATACAATGAAAAAAAAAAAAAAGGTAGAGATATTACATGGAACAATCTTCATATAATATGAAATTAACGACTAGCTTTAGTTATTCAATTCTTTGCTTGATTTTCTTCTCAAGACGTGTTGAATAGTCCAGTTGTTAAAGTGTAGAAGAAAGAGATTAGGGATCATATGTATGTAATGATGTGATCGATATCTTCCATAAAGTTGCTCACAAACCTTAGCTTGCCCCAAGTTGATGCCTAAAGATTACTCCGTACAATGTATTTATTTCGATAGAAATATGAAATTACCCACATCATATTAAAAAAAAAATGAGCTAAGAATCTATTTCGATTTACAGAATAAAACTGAACTGAATAAAAATGAAATAAATTGTTAATAAAATAAAGAAATTAGAAATTCAACTGAATAATCCCTAAGTAAAAAATAACATAGGTTGAAATAATAATTATATACAAAAGTATTTTTTACAAAAAAAAAAAGTGTAAGAAAAGTAGTTGTGTAAAACGGTGCACATGGATAGCACTTGGGGGTAGCAAGGCCGTTATCATGTCATGCAAAAACATGAATGTAGTCATGTCCATATAAGACATGTCGCATCAATAAAATTACATCGTCCTTGTCTATTTAGCTAACTTTGTACTCGTGTTCACTTCCTTGCCCAATCAAAACCTCCAACCAACCCCCCCTATTAATACTTCCATCGAGTGACGAGTGTGTGTGCTACTACTTGACTTGTTTTTAGCATTAACTTGATCCATTATTCCATCGTATCACATTCATACCATATTGCTTGGTTTCCTAAGTTTTTATGTTCGACTTGTTTGTATGTTTCTTTCGATATTGATGAATCACAAACACACCTTATGATCACTTGTTATGAGGGTTACTTCGTTACTATTACATGTATTGGTTATTTGATCATATTACAAGGGTTACTTCGTCAGTGTCATACAGGTTACTCACTCAATATTTAAAGAGTTAATTACTTGGTCATTGTTATAGGAATTACTTTATTTTTTATAAACGGTCATTCAGTATGGCCAACCACATACAAGACGAAGTATAAATAAATTACAACACTGTTGTATAATTATATTATTTGTTTAATTATTGATTATTTCTCCTAACAATATCATATATATATATATATACATACATATATATATATACACATATACATACATATACATATATATATATACACATATACATACATACATATATATATATATATACATACATATATATATGTATGTATGTATATATATATATATATATATATATAATATAATATTATATTATATTATATTTTTATTAATTATGGAGTATTACTTTGTTAGGGTCTGTTCTGTTCAACTTAATTTCAGTTAAGCTCCAATCAGTTCAGTTTCTATTTTTTTTTCTCTCATAAACATTTTATTTCAGCTCTATTCAGTTTAATTTATTTTAGTTCAGTTCAGCTCAGCTCTAATTAGTTTAGTTCAATTATTTTCAGTTAATCGGAACAGACCCTTACTTATCTATAATTTTCTTTATAAGGAATTAAGGGTTAATAAGGGAGATCGACAACCTAGCTAACCTCAATTTGCAACTACAAATACTTATAATTCAGGTATGTAAATTTTACATTGGTGAAAATCAGGATATTAGGAGACACCCCATTATTTATTTGTTTTAATGTATTTTGTCATTAATCACTTACACATAATTTTACGAAAAATATTGTATATAGTCGTTGTATCAAAAATATTTTCAGAAATGAACAAACTAATACAAGTATATATGAGAAATAAAAAAAAATAAAAAAAATGTTAAGTGAACAAATTAAATGTAAGAACGAAGTCTGTAAAGTTAAAAAAAAAAGGCTTTTATAGTTTTACGTAAACTTATTTTCTTTGTCTTTTGAAATAAAGATAAACCTAGATAATATTAAACATTACATCACAACCTACCTCGCAAGACATAACCTCACTTAATAGCATGTACAGAAAATTAGAAAAGGTGAAACTTCGTACTATTACGCTAAGCAAATCACATCAATATTAAGAATATTATGACCATAATCGAGCTGTTAGATGGATGATTATGAGATTTAATTTATTTCGTAGATATACTATATGATATACCTTAGCTTTGTACTTGACGACTTGACGAGTAGTTTTAAACAATGTTAAGTAAAAGTATTAAATCGAAGATAACAAGATTATCGCTTTTAATTTAATAAGTATATACGGATATAATTTCTGATAAATATAACCACGAATTGAAGGCTCTAGTATGATTTATGAACGTAGAAGTGGCTAATTTAACAAAGTTGTTCTTGTCAAAAAAAAAAAAAAAAAAAAAAATTATATGGGTTACATTTTACGTGTTTTCCAAATTCTTTATTAATTTAGCTTGATAACATGTTTACGTTGCATCTATGATTTTGTAACTCATCAACCAATAGTATAAGTAAAACAATAGAAATTTTTTTTGGGTTTTTCTCATTGGTAGCAATAAAAGTTTGTAAATTCTCTATGGTAGCAAAATTTTTGTCAAATTCTCTTAAATAGCATTAGTTTTACAATTATTCCCTTGTATAGCTTTATTTTATTAAATGTGATATATTAGCCTAAAATACACTAACCATGGTTATGTAATAATAATTTACTAAATTACCCTCACTTAATTTATTGAATGATACAAGTATACTACCTTTTGTAAGTCCAATACGATCAGGGAGCTTTATCAAATACATATAATTAGGCTGCAACTTGCAAGCAATAGCCAAAAAGTTGGCACAATTAAATATCAAATTTCCATTGATCATGGGCAACCTTATTAATACAAATTACATGGACAAGTAGTGGGATTGCAGCTACATTGTTAGATGACTTCATAGCAAATTAGAAGAAAATATATAATGCGATATTCAGTACATAATTCATACGGTATTGTATATGTTTACAAGGTAAAGACACATATGCACTGAACAATTATGCCTCACGAATTTCAGAGTGATGTGGTTTTTTAACTGAGATGTTTTAGGTCTGAAGTATCTCCTTACTTTGATTTTAATGGACTCGGGATCAGATTTTTGAGAAGCCATAGGCCTGTCAATCTCCAAGAGCTGACAGATCACATAAACAGATTAATTAAAGCAACAACATTAAAAAAGCTCCAACAACAAAATAATAACTAAATCAAAAGAATCCATCAGCCTGCAACAAAATTACAGTAAAATAACAGCAAACTACTTAATTACAGTAAATTAACAACAAAATAACAACATTCAAATTTCATTCAACAAAATTTTATTCAAGCCAAATGCAAAATTTCTTAAAAATGGTCAGCCACTTAACTAATTGGTTCATAATAGTGCATGTTCTACCAAACAAAACAAAAATTATTCATAAGACACTGGTTTATAATTGTCTTGGTTGAGATGCAAACATAAAGAGAGATCCCGATCTAGTTACTCCAATAGGTTGAGGTTGAGATGTAGCCAGCCTTGAAGTGTGTCCTCTAGTTGTTTTAGGTTGGGAACTTACTGCTACATTAGGAACATCAATGCCTTGAGAAGATGCATCTGATTTTTCCATGTTCTTTTTACTCGAACCCCACTTTTGCTTTGCAGTAGCTCCTCCTTTGCAAGTCTTTGCATTATGCCCAAAATCTTGACACTTGCTACACCTAAAAGTTTTGGCTCTCTTCCCCTTCCTATCTTCTGTTTCATCTCTCTTCCTGTTCCTGCTTGGTCTTCCTATTCCTCTTTTTAGCTTAGGTGGCAATATTTTTGGTAAATTAAACTCAGGCCATTGCTCATGATCTGGTATTGATTTAATGCCATTTGAATATGTTGCCTTGTATCTTTTAACAGAGTACCACTCATCAACAAAAGCATGAGGGTCAAGCTTAGAATCTAATATGGCCCTCATTCAATGTCTACATGGAATCCAGATAATTGCCATTGTCCACAAACACAAGTTTGGTTACTTAAGCTTACGGGTAGGTATGACTTACCCTCAAACACCTCAAATTCACCAAAGGAAGACAAATATGAATGGCAGGTCCTTGAGTCATGACATAACTTTTGAACTCTTTGCACAATGTTTGGACAAATGTCAGTTCTAGTCCACTCCTCACACTTCTGTCTTCTAGAAGCCAACCTTACCATAGTCTTTCTTCGAATACCTACAACAAATAATGACGCAATGTAGCATTGTTAACACAAGCCATGAAATCTTGCATAATGCATTTCAAGATGACATATATACGATAATTTACCTTCTAAAAGTGTAAGTACAGGTCTACATCTGTCAATACCAAGAGTCGCATTAAAACTCTCAACAAAGTTGGACTTATTTGCATCACACTTTGTTGCAACGTTAAACTTATGCTTTGTCCACCGAGCTTGATTGCCTAGTTTTGCAAGCCATAACCTTCCTCCTTTTCCAACCTTATCCATTTGTTCCATAGCTTTTTTAAAGGTGAACTCAGAACACGCACCACACTCTTTCCAAAATAAAGAGAGCATTAATGGACCAGGAAATGCTTTCTTCCAATTGGAAGCTAAATGTTTGGTGCAGTATCTCCTATCTAATTCTGGCCACAACTTGTCAAGTGCAATTTCAATTCCCTATTTATTTAACATTATGATTTAGTTAAATTAAAATGAAATACAATTTAAAAGTGAAAACTTAATGAGACTAACCTTTTGCCGATCTGAAATGATACACCATTTATCTCCTCTTCCAGTTGACCTAAGTAAATCCCTCAAATGATGCACAAAGAAGCACCAAGTGTCCGAATCTTCATTAGAAACAATCCCCCAAGCAAATGGGAACAACTCATTGTTCCCATCTAGTGCTACTGCAGAAAGAAGAACACCCCCATAATTTCCTTTCAAGTGTGTCCCATCAACTCTAATAAACCCTCTAATTCTATTCTTCAACTCATCCAAACATGGCTTAAATGAAATGAATATTGTGACAAAAGCCAAAGGCCTATCAACATGAGTGTTTGGATTCCACACACAACTAGCATTAGAACCAGTGTTAGTTTTCTTAATCATTTCACAATAACTAGGCAAAAAAGAATATGAGTCATCATAGCCACCATATATCTCAATTAAGGCTTGAGCTCTAACTCTATACAATGTACTAGTGGCCATTTGAACATTAAACCTGTTCCATAGTAATGCATTCAATGCCTTACCAGAAATATCATTGTTGGCTCTAATGTCTTCTAATAGCACTCTACTAGCCCATTTTGAAGTCACCATTGGATTTCTAGTTTCCAAACCCAAGCATGTGTGCTCTCCATTTTTTTATTGACTTTATAGCCCAAGTGAAACCATTCGCTAATCTAGAAGCATGTAGCCTCCACTCACATCCCTCTGCAGAACAATACACAGTGTAAATTGAATTGTTTGCCCTATCAACAATCACTGAAAAGCCACATTGTATACAATAGTCCCTGACTACATCTCTCAAATGTTGCTTGTCGTAGAAAAGTTGCCATGGTCTTAATCTTATCTTACCATCTTCCTGTTTATCAAACATTTCCCCATTTTTATATAGCTTTTCAAAGTAATTTCCATCCTCATCATCTTCTACACCATCATCTTCCCAAACATCATCAGCATATGGGTCATAGTTATCCACAACAACAATCCCATCAGCTTCATTATTCGTTTGCCCATCATCTTCATCACCAACTACAATTTCATCACCATCAGTTGAAGATTCATTGTCTGTGCCAGAGAAGGAGAATTCTGGATCATATTCATCATCAAGATCTTGATTTTCAAGTGAAAGCATGTTAGATGTTCTAGCAACCGAAGGTGAAACTGAAGTTGAAGTTATCAAACCCTTCCTCCTAGCTGTTGTCTTTGGCATTTTCTTCTTCATAACTAGGGCTTTAGATGAAAGGGATGACACAACTAACAGTTGTTGCTGTTTAGGTTGTTGTTCAGGTCGATCAGGTTCAACAATAGCTTGTCTATGCTCAGTTTGAGATGTTACATTACCAATTCTAGCTCCTGCCTCATTTTCAAGCCCCAACCAATACTTAAAACCTCTAGATTGTCCTCTTCCTCTTCCCCTAGAACCTCCCCTTCTCCCTCCTCTCCCTTCACCTCTTCCGCCTCTTCTCCCCCCTTAGCCCTTACAGGACTTATTGTTTGACTCAAATCATCCAACGCATCCAAATCAACCTGATTTGATTCAATACCTTCATTATTTTGGCCAATGGTAGGGTTTGGAATTGGATTGATGGTACCCTCAGACACTAACATTTTTCCTCTCTTGGGTGTTAATTTTTAAAGGCTTACCTATTTCAGATATTTTTGGAACTATAACGACATCATTATGCCTCCCAATCCCACTATGACTAGCATTTGAAAACCCGACAAGTTCTGCATCTTTTTTCTCCTTAATCTCTTGTTCTTTCCTTGTCGTCCCTACACTCTTAGCATCTTTAAAAACCTGAGTTGGACTATCTTCATCATAGACCCAGATGTAAATCTCACTTTTTCCAACTCACTGAACATCCTCATTAAATCCTTATCAGTGTTCAGATAGTGGTATTTCATCTCATGCACATATCTAAAGCTAGGAAATTTAGGCATCGCTATACCATGTTTAACAGCATTTCCCCAGTATTCAATAACCACATCAATAAGGTTTATTGTATCAATGTCATCAACGACAACGGTAACATCACCACTATTATACTGAAATTCCAACACAATTTCGTCACCCATTCTGCAATTTTCAAACAAATAAAAATGACTTTCAATTGCAACTTGCATAGTTCAAGAGAAAAAAAAAATCGAATACCCTAATTGTATTACATTAAATGAAAAATAGAGTAAAGAAAAAAATTATAGATGAATTCAATATAATTCTAAATACCCAAATAAATTGGTAATTTCAAATATACAATCTTTAAACTAGATTTTTTTTTTAAAAAAAAAAGAAAAAAAAGGAGAGAAATTGAATTGATAAACGCACATATACATATATTCAATTCAATAACCATGCATTCATACTTACTAATACAATCAAAACACAATAGCAAAACAAAAAAACAAAATTTGATTAATCCTTAAATACATAATAAACAAACCATACTTCATCAACATTAGTTCATATGTAAAACAGGGCATCCATGGCAATCTAATGCAGAAAGTTTGTTTTGCATTGTTTGAAATTTAGGAAGAAGGAATTACCTTGTAACTGTAGAAATTAGGCCTTTTTTGCAGATTGAGATGATTGAGGTGATGAATTTTTGATAATTGCACTTGAGTTTGAGCGATCGAACAAGTAAAAACTTAAACGTTTTTCATCAGTGAAGTGATGAGGGTTTTGGTTATTGTAGGTATCATTCAATAAATTAAGTGAGGGTAATTTATTTAATTATTATTACATAACCATGGTTAGTGTATTTTAGGCTAATATATCACATTTAATAAAATAAAGCTATACAAGGGAATAATTGTAAAACTAATGCTATTTAAGAGAATTTGACAAAAATTTTGCTACCATAGAGAATTTACGAACTTTTATTGCTACCAATGAGAAAAACCCAAAAATTTATTAATGGAAAAAAATGACAATTGATATTTATATTCTTTTTTTATATATATATTCTTATTAATTAATCAGGTTAAATAAATAGCTTGTACATTAAATATTAAATTAAGGTCACTTTAGAATTTTGTTCTCCTGTCAGTTTATTGCTGTACTTCCCCTTTTTAAATCTATTTAATTTCTTATTATACTTTAGCCCTTTTCGAAAGCTTCCAAGATAGTTATGTGGATAATGTAGAAATGAAGACTTGCTACCAAAACACATGGAAAAAAATGGTACTCCATATCTCTTTTGCACAAATTATTACATTTTCGAGCTTAGCTCGATTTTATTAACCTTAAAGACATTATCCGTTCCTCAAACTTACAAGACTTTATAATACAATACATAATAATACTATTTTAGTTGTAAATTAAACTTTATTAGTTAGTCTTATCAGATGATTTTAGAGTATGCTACTACATAATATAAATCTATGACGACTTGCAAAGGTAGGTCTGATTATGACTATACATTACGTTTTCTATCCATGTATAAGAAAACATTAGCTAATTAATTAAATTAATTATTGAGAACTAAAGAGGGCTATAATAAGATTCCAATACATAAAAGGACAGCAATTGAGGTGCATGTATACAGGTAGTATAGCAATGTCTCTTTTCATTTTACAGATTAGGGTACTAATTAAACAATTATAAAGGTTAGATTTATATATGTGTGTATAAATATAATTAATTAATTAAACCTATGATGACGGTGGTACATGATTTGGTAATTCGACGACCTTACAATATAATATAAAAATATAACGAAGCTTGAAAGATATACTATATGATGGTTGGATTACATTTTAAACCAAAGTTTGAATTAACTTTAAAATGAAATTATTTATAATTGGTGGGAATATGGGTGTCTTCGTAGCCTAAGTAAACCACAATCAATTAATAATATTAAGCTATCTTCTGTTAGGTATCCATTAGTTTAATTTGATAGCTAGGGACCAACAAGCTTTTTAGAGGCAATTAGTAGTATGTTGTCACATGGAATTGTCGACTAATTTTTATTTAAATGTTATGCATAATTGATTTAGATCATTTAATTTTGATGGGAGTAGATACTAATTAATTAATTATTATTATTACACCATCCTTTTCCTTTTGTTAATCTGTTCCGTTGGAAAAAGACACAGTTTGATGACCACCATGAATATTCATTTTATGAAAAAAAAAACATACTTTTAATCTTATTAGATTCTTCTCGAATTCTCGATCTATAAATTCAAAGTATTAAATTAATATAATTTGAATTTATAGTTGAAGATTTTACACTCAAATATCTACATTAAGTTTTTTTTTTTTTTTTTTTTTTTTTTTTTACAAGGGCTAAATTAATTGGATAAAAAAAAAATATAATATACACGAAGAAACCTTAAAACTGCTTAAAAATTGAATAAAAAATTTAAATGTAAATTTTTTAATCTAACTCAATTATTCAAATGACAATTACATCAATCGATATAGGATCTTGACACCCATTGCTAATTTTAATATTGATTTAGAAAATGTATCAAATTTTGATGCACAACCCTAATGGTTCATTGTATGTCATTGCCCTTAATTATTAGTGTGTGAAAAAGACAATTGCATCAACATAATTCAAATGTTAAGTTATTAATTAATTAGTGTAAATAAATCTTGTAATCATAGATTAACACCTTTTTAGAGGGAAGCTAAGGGAGAGTACAAATGTATGTACAATCATAAACTAAGACTTAATCACATGAAGAATACATATATAATAATCAACACTATATATAATTAGCATTTACACAAATGAGGAAGCATGTTGGAAAGTATATTGAATAGGAGTGACGACTATTTTGGGATGGGTTAGTAATAATGTGACATTGGCTTCCACATCTAGTCACATGATCGATTCGTCACCTCACCCTCTCCAAATAAGAATATATAGTAGTTCCACTACACCCACCCTTAATTATATCATTATATTTTTTTTTTGACCTTATAAATATAAAATATTTCCCTTGATAATTTCCTCTCAAATACTCTAAGCCTATCACTATACATGTCTCCTACCATCCTTTCTAACTCAAATTTTGTATATCTTAGCTAATATCTTCTATACGGAGCACCCTTTTGATTATTATTCTATCAAATTATTTTAGTTATTACCAGTTTACCACATGTGCTGATGTATAAATTTGACCATTTATATTTTATTTATTTTCTTAATGTTGTGTAACATACTTTGTATTCTGTAGATTTCTGTAATAGCTCTTTGAGTAGCTTTGGATCTTACATATTGGAAGCATAAAACTAAATACTCTATCATTAAATAAATAAATTAAACAAAACTTTTGTATACATCCGATGTTTATCAACTTTTATAAAATTTAGGGTAACTTTTATTGAATTTGGGGTAACTTTAATCCATAAAGTTTAAATAACTTTTATTTATATCAGAATAACTTATATATACTGAGTAACTTTTATTCATTATAGGATAACTTTTGTTCATGTTAAGGTAAATTTAAAGTGGACGTAAAATATCTTACTCTACATCCAATTTTTTAAAATGTTTGTCATAAATTAAAATACATCATCAAAGATACACCTTAGATAAGATATGTACTCGTAATTATATAGATAGCTAAACATTGTACTTCCTCCGTTCTATTAATATTGCAACAAGGAGGAAATTACGCATCCCTATGCACATTTTATATGCTAAATATCTATAATTGTGTAAGAGTAAAAATTATAAAAAGTTGATATTGTGAAAATATTTTATGAGACGAATCCAACAAGATCCCACATGACTATATTTTGCTTAATGTATAAATCATATTATATGGTCAAATTAAAGTAATGAATAGTGTAAAAAGTCCATTGTTATAATATTAACAGAACGGAGAAAGTATAAGTCAAAGTGAAGTAGCTGAAAATCGAGTTGAATTAGAAAATGATGAAAAAAAAGGGCTAGAAGATGGACATTCTCTGGGTAGGAGTATCAATATAGGGATCAGTTAATAAATGTTTTATCTATCTTTATACGTGTCTTAGGATAATGATACTTTTACTTTAATGTAGTACTCACTAGATAGTTTAATAAATAAAATAAAATAATTAATGAGTGTGTTTTTGATTTAAAAGAGTGATACGTGTCGAAGCATGCATGGTTGATGCACCGCATCACGTGATTAAAAAAATTGGGTAGCCTACCACAACGTCGCCTCCCAAATCACGTGGCCCAACTCACGCTTTGGTGTGGTGGCCCCCTTACGCGATCCACTTTCTCTTTCTCTCTTTTATTCATACCTGTTTTTTAAGATTCATTGCTACTCCTTCTCTTTCTCGTGTGATTGTTTTTACTCTCTCCATTTTTTTAATTGTTATGTTATTTCAAATTATTTTAGTTTTTACGCTTATGTCACGTTCTCTTCAGCTTAATTTAAATTTTCTTTTTTAATTTAGTTTCTATAAGTCATATGTAGGGAAAAATATATTTATGTAGAATATTGTTAGAATATTTTTTTTTTTAAAAAAAACTACTCCGTATTATAATATCTAACTTTATAAAATTTTCATGTTAAGATTTGAGGTTATTATTATTGGTTAAAGTTATGTATTGATGACAAGTGTAATACAAGTAAATGAAATAGGGTTAATAAAAAAAAAATAGAAGAGTATTTATATTCAAGCATATGTGCTAAAAGCTGAAACGTGTCAGATGTTTGAGACCAGCGAAAGTAATTCGTAAAAATTGTAAAAATTACAGATGAAAGTCTACTCCAACTACTTTGTACTCGTACTACTTTCTCCGTATACTAAGATAATCGATACTATCAAATTACAAAGTTTTATACCGGCTGGCCACACCGTATGATCATGGTTATTCAGTCGGTCAAAGATTACTTAATCGATTGCTCAATTAGGGATTATTCGATAAGTCAAAGATTATTTTAGTGTGTGTCAGCTGTCCACAGAATCACATGCCACACAAAATACACACCTTAACAAAATTTACTACTCAATTCGTCCCTAAATTACATTTTTGTTTCTAGTATTTATTCCTCATAATAGAGGAAAACATAAATGTAATTTAGGGACGGAGGGAGTAATTATAATTAAAGAGTTGAATTGACTCTTAGATTTGTTCATTATTTTTACTCCATCTATCAGTTATTATAAAAGGGCATTGGATATCCAATAACTTAAGCATGCATGAGTGTAGCTAGGCTGTGTAGTTATCTTTGTTTTTTCCCCTAGTTGTAATCACATGTTCCTAAAATTTTCAACCTTTAATAAAACAATTTGAAAAATATACAACTATTTGCAAGTTGAGCTTATCCAATCAATTTGGTGTAGTTGGTACTTTGTAGGTTATTAGGATGTTTACCTTGTAACCTTAAATATCAAATATTATATGATCTCATTTAGTTGTAATTTAAAGTGATATTTCCTTTATCCTCTCCATCACTGTAAAGAACCTAACTTTCAAATTTAGACTAGCTCATATAAAAGTCTAATTCATCAACAAATCCATTTTTTCCATAATAATATTAGATATTTCATCCCTTCATCTTATAGTAAATATTTATTTTTAAAAAACTAGTTGTGTTAAAAATTTCTTTATCATTAACACATTCACATTTGAGTTGGGTTCTATAATATACTACCCCATTACTTTTTAGTTGTAATAAAAGAATTTTTTTTTTATTTTATAAATAATACTACTATCTCTTTATTGCAATTAAACGTACGGATCGGAGGCAGTATAAAAAACTCAATTAGCTCACTAACATAAACAAAATGCTTTTAAAATATTTCTTCCTCCGTTCCATAATTTTGAGCCAGTATTCCTTTTTGGGTGTCCCAAAATGTTATGCCTGTTTCTAAAAGTAGCCCATAATCATTACTTACTTTTTATATTTTCCATATAAAATACACATATATCCAAAAAATTGTTACTTATTTTTTCTCTTTTTTTAATACAATATTCTTTACTTTTTATCTTTTTCCATACAATATTCTCTACTTTTTATCTTTTCAATAGAATATTCTCCTATTTTCACCATTCTTCTTAATTATCATAATTTTTTTTAGAGAAATAGGCACAAAATAATGAGACGGAGAAAATACTGTATAAAAATACTTATTAAATATAATTATTAAAGAATTATATAAATGAGAAAGGAAGCTCATGAAAAAATGAAATGGTTGATAAATGATGCTATAAAATGATGCAAGTATACAACAGTGAAGAGGGGGGGGGGTGTGTAGGCACATGAAGGGAGTGATCGCCCAAGTATTGCGTATGTGACATAAAATGATGTGACAAGACATAATTCGTATGTGTCTTTTAATTAATTGAAAATGTAAATTTAGGCTTTAGCAGTAGGAAAGAACGCACGTGAGTGAGGGAAGCAGCCAGTCACGTGCGCCCATCCCCTGCCGTTCATATGCCACACTCACACACACACAGCCTGCCGAGTAGGGACCACTCTTTTATACCCTCCTTCTCCCGTTCCGTTTTAACGTCCGTTATCTTACTTCTTTTTCTTTTTTTATTTTTATTTTTTTTTATTGTGAATAATTCAAGATTTTGTGATAATAAAAATTCCATATTGGTAAATATTAGGTTTAAATTTTATTTATAGTAATTCAAGAATTTGTGATAATAAAAATTCTATATTGGTAAATAAATATTAGTTTTAAAATTTATTTTTATTATTTCTTAAAGAATGAATACAATGTAATTACGTCGTATTAGACATGATTTATAGATGCATTCAAAAAGAAAAATTTAAAGGGCGGTTGATGAAAATTGATCTTAAAATGTTTAAAATTGCGAAAGAAGCTCTAACTACTTGAGTTATCATTTGAAATTATTAACTCTTATATAAACTTAGTTTTTTCTAATTTAAGTTAAAAAAAAGGTGCACTTAGGAGGGATTAAGTTTACAAAAATCATTGTTTAGCAAGCTATTTAAAATGGTTGAGCTGTTTGGTTGACAATAAAAAGTGTAAATGTGTGAATTGTAAATTCATGGGAATTGTAACTTCCCACAAAATATGGAAAGTTGATTACCCAGCCCGCATTGTAACTTCTTTTATGCTAATCAAACAGCTTAGGGAATTTTTAAGAATTTGATGTAGGCATTAATTTCCATGAAATACAAATTCGTATGGAAAGTAAATTCCCATATTAAACAAACAACAACTTGTATTGTGTGCGGCTAGCCACACCATATGGTCACTTATAAAATAACAAAGTAACTCCTATAACACTGATCAAGTAACCCCTTTAATGCTGACCGAGTAACCCTTATAACATTGATTGAGTAACCCCTATTACACTAAGTAACTCCTACAACACTAGTGAAGTAACTATTATGATGGATGGCCGCACAGCGTGACCAGCCACATATAAGAATTTGTATAGATTCAAAGTGTAAAAAATCTTTTGAATTGCTCGAATGTAAAAGGAATGTCTTAATATCACCCTAGGTCATGAACTCATGATATATCGATAAGTTAGACGTCTATTTTTCTAGCATGGGATTATTCAACTATGTTTTGATAACTAATTCATGTTCTGATAATTCATCCAATTAAAATCAAGAGAATTTTTCTTCATTTGATCCTTTCACAATAAAAGCATATATAAACAAGCTGATCACAAATCAAACCACTAATTCACAATTCATCTTCAACTCATTTTTAAAAATATAATATACAATTATATTAAGAATTTAAGACCGGTTTTTATCTCCACAAGGATGACAATTGGACGGGTTGAATTTGGATTCCTTTCGTCACACCCGTATCCACCGGCATGGCAAGTATACATAGCCAACAATCATATTTTGATATTTGCTTAGTTCAATTAAACTCTAGACTCACACTCACCCCCACCTTCAGAGTCACCTACTAGTATACTACCCAAGTAGATAACTGAATATCAATCATCCGCTTGTTACCACATGACAAGTGAGCGTAAAGAGTTACAGATTTGAACATAGGTGATACTATTAGAACCATAGGAGCGCACACGCGGACAGGGAGGGGGGAAGGGTGGTGGGGGTGCTGGTGCGTTGGCGAGGTGAGAATGTGAGACAGGCGGATATGGGGGTGTAGGATTTCAAAAAATGCAAATATTAATACATGCTTACTAGTCCACCATCCATCAAAATCATACAGAGTCCTCTATCTTGTACGAATGCTTTGCAGAGGCTACATAATCATATCCATGTCATCCGATCCCTAATCTTTCTTAAGTAAATGTATAAACAAACCAGTGAATTTCACTTGCTGTCTATGTTGTTCCAAAATAGGCCTATATAAGTCTCATTAACCATTTCCTAGTTCTCTAGCAAATGAAACAAGTAAATATTATTCATCAAAAAAGAAACAAGTAAAGATTATATCTGCTATACTTTTGGTCATGTAATAAAGACACAAATGTTACAAATACAATAAATTATATACAATGACTAGGGACTTTTTTAGGATCTACCCGAATCAGTCTCAAAAATTTTCACCACTGTAATGGTAAAAGATGATGAGTTTCATCATCAGCAATTCCGCATATAAATATTTTTTTCAAGAATTCAAGCTGCAACTTTAGCAGTAACCTTAGAACTATTCAATTTCTTGGACATGATCGAATTAACTACATCCTTGACAAAGACGTAGAAGCATTCCCTACAAGAGCTAGGCACTATCGTAGATCTATGAAACTGTGGAGTTTGATCACCGTGATGGCATACTAATGTTGGGGCTGGACTAACAATTTTTCGGTGCTCAAAGCCACAGGAAGCCAAAATTGTATGTGTTGAAAGCCTGGCGATTTCCTTGAATGCATCCACGCCTAGTTGATTAAAACAGAAGGAAAAATGAGAATACAAGATTGAGTCAAGAACAAAATCAATATTACTCCAATACTTTTAAATGCGCCCATTCTAAGGGGTTATATGTAAGCAATCTCAACAATACAACAATATAGAAAAGGAATTTCGAATTGTACATTCATCCAACACTACACTTTGCTATCTCAATGTCATAAATAAAACGAACAGGTAGTTTAGCAAGTCATTTTAACTAATATCCTTATTATTCTAAAGTAAAAGCATACTAGTAGGTTTTCTTGTAAATTTCCATTTCACATCAAAGATTTTCACAATTTTAGTTTACTAGAATGTTAAGACTTATCGCATTGTTTCTGGTATATTTTTGTTATGAAGTAGCAGTGTCATATGTATCAGATTAAGGGTCAGTTTCTTCAACAACAAGGGTAAGGTGCCCACATACAAGTATACAACACCCAACCCCTTTAAAGGCATTGAACATTTAAATCAATGCTGACATGATAAATGCATCACGTCTAAATCATCCCAAGTCACAAGATTATCACAAGAAAATTGCATCAACAAACAATTTCAATATAATCACTCTATCAAAACCCAGAACTTGTAGATCTCTGGTGGAGGGAAGGGCCAAATAGGGGGGACTATCTCTAGCAAAAAATACTGAAAAGGATTCTTTCAAAGTAATCTAAAGCAGATAACGCCAAACAAAAGAACAACATATACTAAGAGAGATTTTCATCAGCGTACCTAATCGTTTGTTTTTACAAAGGAGCTTTAGGTTGAGCTTGACAAGGGATTGAATCTCACCCTTTACCTCATCATCCTTGTTACCCTTGCTGGTGTTGTTAAACCCAACACTTCCAGGACATGCTGATATTTTCTTGCCTTCCAACTTGACATTAAATGCAGCAGAGCCACCCACTACAGGATAACACGAAGATGTCGAGCAAGCAAAACCATTCTGTTCATCAGAAAAATTTGACAACCCTCTTCCTAGATTTGCATCAGAAAGTAAGCCAGTTTTATTACGACAATTGTCAGTTTGTGCTGATGTCTGTGGCTCCTGCTTACTGGATGCACAGATATTCATATGGCCATTTTTCTTCAAAGGAAATGCAGATGCTTCCATCCTCTGCAATCTGGGATGCGATACATCAGACGTACCTGCTATTTGCCCACATGAAGATGCTGGCCAAGCAGAGCCATCATCAAGAACAGTAGTCTCTCCTCCCTGTAGCTTTTTGGGTGATGCTAAGAGTGCTGTGTTGTGATGAATATTAGCTCGTACTTCTCTGGGCATAGATAAATTACGGACAAAGGACTTCTGATACTTGCTGCTAGAGGCATTATCAGCTTGTGATGAAAAATTAGTCAAACGATGCTTTCCAGAAGTCTCAGCAGGCCTTCCACTTACCTTATCAGTAAGCTTTTGCTTCTCAAATTTAGGGGACATTAGATCCTTTCTTCCAGACACTACACACTTAGGTACAAATTTATCTATTTTTAAACTATGTGCTTTATTTTGAGAAATCTTAGGAGTATTTTTTGACTTAGCAGTTTGCTGCACAGTCTTTGCTTTTGTCATCAATTTCCAAGCTCTGTCAACATTGTAGGAATCTTTATCACATGTGTCATCACAAGACTTTGATTGCAAAGAGGTCGCAGATGAAATGGATTGCAATTCACAAATTTTTTCTCCACTTGTTCCATTAACATTCTTTTTCTTACTAGCTTTACTTAAGGAATCAGAAAATGCTAGAGAGAAGCTCAAGGATCCAGCTCTAAAAGCACCCCAATTCTCACGCAAGACATTAATGTGCCTGTGAGCATTTCGGCAATTCTGCAGTGTTCTAGCACTAGATGACATATCAGCAAAACACAAATTATCTCTTTCACCAGGTACACTTCGTGCAGATGCAATATTTGACTGATCAGAAGCAGTAGCTTTGGAAGAAAACTCTGTCAGATTTTGAGACGATTTGAGAAGCCTATCTGTCTCAGAGTCAGGCTCCTTTGACCTATTTGGGTCTCTCACAATATCAAATATTGAGACAGAAGCTGAACTTGGCAACGGTTCCTCATCACAAGGAGGAGGATCAATAGAAGTAACAGCATCATCACTCATACCATTTTCAAGCTGCTCATCCCGTAGAAGAGCACAATCCCGGCAAAACCAATCATCTTCAGGTACAGTGGCACCAAGGCCAACACAAAAAGTATGTGAAGCTGAGTCGAAGAGATCACATAAAAGAAGAAGGCACTCATCCGTTGAACCATTGCAGACAGAGCACTTTGCTTGTGCATATGGGTCAACTGGTTCCCCAAAAGGATCATAGATCTGCAAGTAAGACATACAACCAATAATAATTAATACATACTAAGCATTAGCAATCAAAGATACCATCACACTCAGCGCCGTCAGCAGGACAACCAAACATGTATCTTGGCCAACAGTCAAAGCAGTGGAGGCTTAATCTTCTGAGTGAATTATTAAGGAAAGGCTTAATATCCATGGTCAAATTACAGTAAAATTAAGCTGGACCTATGATGTCATATAACTTTCACAAAATCACAATAGCTACTTTCTAGTTTCTACAACATCAACGTATTACACCAACCATTTAAAACAAATATATTACATTTGGTACCCTAACTATGACAAAATTCTGCATTGGTAACCTATTGAAATAATTGTTTCACCTCATTGGCTTGACAATAAGGTTGTTAAATTCCAGTAAAAAATGATGTGTCATCCAAGATTTCTTACAGAATATTCAATTTTAACTGTTGAAAAATAATAAATTAGAAATCCGATTAAATTGATGTAATATTGGAGTATAATTTTCATATTCAACTTCAATGGTCTAAATTATAAAATTACAAATAAAATATTTCTTGACCTTAATGGATACAAACTTCAACTTACAGATCACTAAATTGAAGCTAATTTTACAATATCAAGTCACCAAATTGATATTATGCTATATCAAGTAACCCAAGTGATATTTCTAAGATACTATAGTATCCTTAAAGCACCAAAATTGGAAAAATTCCTTTAGAAAAGCTTCTTATGCCCAAAAAGGTACTCTATATGTCTTAAAATGGGGTAAGGCTCAACCATTCTCACTCTTTTAACATCTACTTGTACCACAATAGCATCCTTCAAAAGCCTATTTTCCCAACAGGGCTCATTGATAGATGGTTAGGGAACAAAATTGTATATTTGGTAACAAAAATCGCTTCGATTTTAAGGCCAATCAACCCTTAAGTATTTCTTTTTATACGTAATTCCTCATAACCATCCGCCAACATTCGAGGAATTCCATTGTGTGGGAATGTAATTTTACATAATTTTGGCGATTGTGTAGCATGATCACAAACACTAACATTAAGGATGCAACACTTCCATAGTAAAAACTACATTCATCTTCATAACTTCATAATCACAAACACAATCAAATACATAATCAAATACATAATCACTTAACAACAAACACAACTTCAATAAGCAGAATTCACATTGAAAAACAAACACTGAAAACATGAAATTCAACAATAACATAAAACGAATTAAATACCTGATCTCGAACCGGAATCCGAACCGAACCTTGACCAATGAAGGTCCCATCTTTTCTCATACGACGAATAGTACTAAACCTCCCTCTACACAAGGGGCAGCGAGACTCAATCTTGGACCACTCGATTATACAAAGAAAGCAAAAGTAATGATCACAACTATCAGTAAGACCTCTAACGGTTCTTCCTTCCTACGACAAACAAATTCCGCAACCATCATTCGTCGGCGATTCGCAACAATCATCGGTTTCGCCGTCATTGTCGTCGATAATCGGAGCTTTACCTTTATCAATTGAAGATGGAATTGCAGGATCTAGGGTTTGGGTTTCCGATTTCAATCGTTTGTTTGGTGAATTGGGGTCTAGGGTTTCCATTACTGAGTGGCTCTGCAACGAGTGATGTGAGTTGAATGAAGTAGGATGATGTATGATGAACTCGCTCAGATTTTCCCACCAAATATGGTTATTTTTTTTTACCAGAGGTCAAGGGAGATAGTTATTTAGAGTTGCGCTGATTATCAATGTTTTAAAAGTCATAAATAAATACTAGTACTAAAATACATTACTCCCTCTATATTTTTTGAAGTGACATATTTTGACCGACACATAATTTTAGGAGATTTTATTGACTTTAATAAAATAAGAGGTTAGTGGGGTAGGATGGAGACGTGAGAAATGATAAAGTAAAAGAATGTGAGAGGAAATGGGGACCATGAAAGGAGTGAGAAATGATAAAGTAAGAGATAGTGGGGTGAAGATATATTATTAAAATGTATAACATTACTAAAAGAGGAAGTGTGTCACTTAAAAAAAAAAACCGTCATTTAAAGAAGGTGTGTCACTAAAAAAACATGGAGGGAGTATTTATTATTACAAGTATGTCACTAGTTTCAAACACATACAAATGACAATCAATCAACAAAGGAAAGAATTAAATCCTAAAACTAAGAAATCATACTTATTGACACTCTTTAGATTACTAACAACATGCTTAGAATCAAATTTTGTACTTAAAGAATCAAATTGAAAGTCTAATTGTGTACTAAGAATCAAATTGAGCTTAAAATCTATTACTGTCAAGAAATGACAGCTTTCCAATGCTACTATATTTTGTATTTCTGCTGCCACTTCAATTCCCTCATCCTAATTACTCCGACGTATCCATTTCTGTCTCTGCTTCTGCTTCGCGCCTTGCCTGTGTTGGATCCTTGCTGTCTTACGTGTCCTGCGGCCACCACCAGAAGTTTCCTTAGTAGATATATTCACAAGATTCGGAGCATTCTCCGAGACTGCAGCTTTCTTACTGTCACTGTTAGCATATTCAGGCACAAGTTCTGTTATCAGTTGTTCCATAATCTGAGAAATTGATGCAGTATCTTCATCTGACAGGCCATATTCTTCTTTAAACTTCTCTACGACTTGCAGAACTGTATTGGTTTCAAGTGAGAAATGAAACCTAACCCTCTTACTACCATAATCTACGAAGTCCATCTGTATCAATTCGCGGTCCTTCACTCTTCCTTTCAATCCAAACTTCTTATTTCCTTTGTCATCATTAATCACCTTTTCTACTTCCCTTCCAGACGACTGCAGTACTGATCTTAGCCTCTGATCACTCAGACCAGGAGGCGGGAATTCCACAATACTAGTTAGCCTCAGATTCGGAAGACTGCATCCTGTTAAATACGTGCTAGGGTCCTGATCCTCAACACTCAGTTCAAGAAACGGATCATTCAACAGTTCAATCGCGGTAGGTCTGACATCTACACCTCCTATACACTTCTGAATGATCTCCTTAAGTTCTTGGTCCATCACTCTCTGTAGCTTATCACGCGAGTCCCTCCATCTCCTCTCTACAGCTTCCTTATACACCATCTGTAGTACACACATCCCAAACTCGTATATCTCAGACCGCGCATTTGCAACAGCAACAGCAACAGCATCAGCATCAGCATTACTGCTCTCAGTACTACTCCCTGAATCAAGAACTATCGCGCTACATAAATCTCCAAGCTTAACTACACCCGAATTTCCAATAACAAAGAAGTTTTCCAAGCAAAGACTACGAAGATAAATCGGAGGACTAAGACCGTGAAGATAAATCAACACTCCAAGAACATGTCTACACCAATTTTTAATTGGAGTAGTATCTTCAAATCTTCCAATCCAATGTTTCTTAGAATAATCTCTCAAATTCCCACAATAAATTTCAGTAATCATGTTAAGCGTTACAAATTCATTCTTAAAATCGACCCAACAATCGTAACACTTCATTATATTTTCATGGTCCAACTTATGTAACAACTTAGCTTCTTCGTATAATATCTCATGATTTTCAGTAGTTAACACTGTCTTACTCCAAGCAATATCTCTGCCAGTAACTCCATCGAATCCCTTATAGACTACTTTCGATTCGCTGCTCGGTTCTCTGATGAATTGGTTTCCTACTGATGGCTTCTTTAGCCTTAGTACCGGTTGTACAGTTATAATGTCATCGTACCTTGCGAATTGGCGTGTCGGGTTTCTCTCCACGACCTTAAGCTCGTCTGCCTGTGAACTCGAATCCGCCATTACTGCAGAGTACTAACTAAGAACAATAAAACAGACTAAAGAAAGATTTGTAATGGAATATTTGATTTTTATTGATGAAACTTTTGTTAGTTATGAAGTGAAAACAGAATATTTGATGAAATGATTTATTTTATGGCAGTAATGTAGATTGCTGATTAAAAACTTAGTTTAGTTAGATGTTACTTGTAAGTTGTAACCAAGATATATATAAAGTGATTAATCTTCCATTTATCCATTAGTTGTAGTTAGTTAATGTTGATAAGTATTAGGTGACTCGTACTTCGTAGCTTTGTCCGCCCGATCGGGCGGACATTGCCCGGTCTGACCGGGCGGTGGGGGTTGGATACGTTGAAGCATTCGTATGGAGTTTTCTTCTCGCGCCCGATCGGGCAGACCTTGCCCGGTCTGACCGGGCGGAGAAGGAAAAATGCGGAGACGCGGATTTTACGATTTAAAGTTATCTTTTATGTTATCTTTTTGCCCAAGTATCTTTTATTTTAGGGATTAATATAAAACCTCCCTAATATTAGTATAAGGGTTAAGAGAGAGAGAGGGAGAGCCGTTCTTGAGAAATACAAGAATCATCTTTGTAATCTTTGCAGTTTATAGTGAAATCATTCGATCTCGGTGCCCGTGGACGTAGCTATCACATCGATAGTGAACCACGTAAATTCTTGGTGTTGTTCTTATTGTTTGCATTGAATTTCTTTATTGTTTTCTTGTTTGTTTTCGACCTTTGCTTCCGCTGTCGCACAACAATTGGTATCAAGAGCTCAGGTTCAATCCTTGGAGAGTTTCTTGAAGATAACAATGGCAGGAGATTCAACAATAAGAATTGAGAAGTTTACCGGGAAAAATAGTTTCGGGCTATGGCAAATTAAGATGAAGGCTCTGTTAAAACAACAGCAGATATAGCGTCCGTTGGCTCCAAAGAGTACTACTTCGGAGTCAGAAGATGGACCGACTGACCCGCAGTTAGAAGTTATGGAAGAGAAGGCACACTCTACCATATTACTTAGTCTTGATGATCAAATCATCACGGAGGTGGCTGATCAGGAAACGGCGGCTGGATTGTGGCTGAAGCTGGAGTCATTGTATATGACTAAGTCGTTGACCAACAAATTATTACTGAAACAGCGGTTGTTTAGCCTCCGGATGCAGTCAGGTACTTCCTTACGGGAACATCTAGAAAAACTTAACTCTATTTTGCTTGATTTACGTAATTTAGATGTTAAAATTGATGATGAGGATGCTGCGTTGATTTTACTTGTATCTCTACCGTCTAGCTTTGAGAATTTTGTAGAGTCTTTTGTTGTTGGTAAGGATTCTATAACCTTAGAAGAAGTGAAGGCAGCACTTCATACTAGGGAACTCAGAATGAAAGCTACGAGTGATAATGGGGATAATGGTAGTGGGTTGTTTGTTAAGTCCGGAAAGTCTAAAAAGAATAAGGGGTTTAACAAGGGGAACAATGCTGGGTCGGGTGCTGGAAACGACAATGATGGATCTAGTAAAACTACTACTAAAACATGTTATTACTGTAAAGAACCGGGTCACTTTAGGAATAATTGTCCGGTGAGGAAAAACAAGTCCCAGGCTGCTGTAGTTGAAGAGAAACCGAATGAGAGCTATAATTCAGAGGAAGATTTAGCATTAGTCAGTTCTGCTAGGTCTGATGATTTATCTGATAACTGGGTTCTAGATTCGGGGTGTTCGTTCCATATGTGTCCACGTCGAGATTGGTTTGATACATATGAACCTCGCAATGGGGGTATGGTTATAGTCGGTAACAATGCTCCATGTAAGGTCACAGGTATTGGTTCCATGAGGTTGAGGACTGTTGATGGGCGGAGGTTAACTTTGACTAATGTACGGCATGTTCCTGCTTTAGGAAAGAATCTGATTTCATTGGGTACCCTGGATGACTTGGGGTACAATGGTGTGTTTTCAGATGGGGAGTTGTGTATTTTCAGAGGTTCTGAGTTGGTACTTAAGGGTATCAAAAGGAACACCCTCTATGTTTTTGAGGGTGTTACACTGCCTAGTTCTGCGGTTTGCGCATCTGTATCTCACCAGGAGATGACTAAGATTTGGCACATGAGGCTTGGTCATATGGGGGAGAAGGGGATGCAGCTATTGTCCAAGAGGGGTCTTCTATCCGGGGTCAAGGTTGCCAACCTTGAATTTTGTGAGCATTGTGTGTTTGGTAAGAAACACAGGTCAAAGTTCAGCAAGGGTGCTCACATTACTGATGCAGTGCTCGATTACATCCATTCAGATTGCTGGGGTCCATCTAGAGTTGAAGGTATGGGAGGTTACCACTATTTTGTGTCATTTGTTGATGACAAGTCCCGATACACATGGCTTAGGTTGCTTAAGTCAAAGGATGAGGCCTTCAAAGTTTTCAAGCAATGGAAAGCTTTGGTGGAAAATCGACAAGGAAGGAAGATCAAGAAGCTACGAACGGACAATGGGCTAGAGTTTTGCAAAGACGAGTTTAATCAGTTCTGTGCAGATGAGGGTATAGGTCGGCATCATACTGTCAGGAAGACACCACAGCAGAACGGTGTAGCAGAACGGGTTAATCAGACACTGCTAGAGAGAGTTCGATGCATGCTCTCTAATGCAGGGCTTGGGAGGAGGTACTGGAGTGAAGCTGTGTTAACAGCTTGTTATGTCATTAATAGGGGTCCTCATTCTGGAATTGATTCCAAAATTCCGTTTGAGATCTGGAGTGGTAAGTTGCCTAATTTTTCGAATTTGAAGATTTTTGGTTGTGTTGCTTATTATCATGTTATTGAGGGTAAGCTGGATCCACGAGCCAAGAAGGGGTGTTTTGTTGGGTACGGGGATGGTGTGAAGGGGTTTAGAATTTTTTCACCTTCGGAGGGTCGGGTCATTCTTAGTAGGGATGTTACTTTCGATGAAAACACCATGTATTCAATTAAAAATGCAGAGATTTCAGATTTGAGAAGGGAAGGAGACAATTTATTACAGACAGATGGGGTACTTGAGGTACATCAGTCTACCATTGCTGATTTACCTCGGGTACAATATATTGATGATGATGCTGATGTTCCAGTGCCGGGTACTCCTGAACCTGAGATTACTCCTACTCATTCTAACTCTGGGGATGAGGTGGAGCAATCTAATCAGGGGTCATCTAGTCAACCTGACACCATTCTTGAGATGCCTAAACGAGTTATCAAGAAGCCTGTTAGATTGATTGAAGAGATGGAGGGAAGAAATTGCTGTGTTGATGCGATGACAGGTTATGCATTGAGTGTAGCTGATGATGTAGAGTCATTTGAACCTGCCACATATAAACAAGAAATTAGTTGTAGTGAGTCTGCGCAATGGCTTGCCGCAATGGGTGAAGAGATGCAGTCTCTTTACAAGAACAGAGTGTGGGAACTGGTAAAGGTACCGGAAGGGAGGAAGCTTGTGGGTTGTAAATGGATTTACAAGAAGAAAGAAGGGTTGTCGGAAACTGAGCAAATACGTTTTAAGGCTAGGCTAGTTTCTAAGGGGTTCAGTCAGGTAGAAGGGGTTGATTTTGTTGAGATATTCTCACCTGTGGTTCGACATACTTCTATCCGTGTGTTATTGTCAATTGTAGCACATTTTGATCTTGAGCTGGAGCAGTTGGATGTTAAAACGGCTTTCCTTCATGGCGATTTGGAGGAGGAGATTCTGATGAAGCAGCCCGAAGGATTCGAAGTTCCTGGAAAGGAACACTATGCCTGCAGATTGCTAAAGTCATTGTATGGACTTAAGCAATCCCCCCGACAGTGGTACAAAAGGTTTGATTCTTTTATGGTTTCACAAGGTTTTGACAGGAATTCATATGATTGCTGTGTGTATCATAGTAAGCTGGATAATGGTTCCATGATTTATCTTTTGTTATATGTTGATGACATGTTGGTTGCCACAAAGAATAAATCTGATATTGCTAGATTAAAGGAGATGCTTAACTCGGAGTTTGACATGAAAGACTTGGGTGCAGCTAGGAAGATTTTGGGTATGGAGATCTACAGGGATCGGGCTAGAGGTAAGCTTTTCTTGACTCAGAAAAGCTACATTGAAAAGATTTTGTCTCGTTTTGGGATGGAAAAATCGAAGCCTATAAGTACGCCAACTACTGTTAGTTGTAAGTTGTCTTTGTCTATGTCACCTCAATCAGAGGAGGAGTTGTCTTATATGTCTAGAGTTCCATATGCAAACGCGGTTGGTTGTTTGATGTATGCTATGGTCTGTACTAGGCCGGATATTGCGCATGCTGTTAGTGTTGTAAGCAGGTTTATGGCTCGACCTGGGAGGGAACACTGGCAAGGGGTGAAAAGGATTTTTCGCTACCTGAGAGGGACAACTGATATTGGTCTTGTGTACGGGAATGGTAGGGAATGCTTGGTCACTGGGTACAGTGATTCTGATTATGCAGCTGATGTGGATACCAGGAGGTCTGTGACTGGTTATGTGTTCACTTTGGGTGGTTCTGTGGTTAGTTGGAAGTCTACATTGCAGTCATCAGTTACGTTGTCAACTACTGAAGCTGAGTATATGGCTTTAACTTCTGCAGCTAAGGAGTCTATTTGGCTCAAAGGCCTAGTAGGTGAACTGGGTATTGCACAGGATTTTGCTACAGTGTATTGTGATAGTTTAAGTGCGATTTGCTTAGCTAAAGATCAAGTACACCATGATCGGACGAAGCACATTGATGTCAGGTATCATTTCTTGCGTACTGACAAGAGGATTAAGGTGAAGAAGATTGGGACTGCTGACAACCCGGCTGATTTCTTCACTAAGCCTGTTCCGTTTAGCAAGTTTAAACATTGCTTAGACTTGCTAAATATTGATTACTACGTGATGTAGTAGGCCCTGAGGGGCGAAGTTGGGGAGCTCCTGGTGTAGGTGTGTTGGCCTTAAGGTGGAGCTTGCCCGGGGCTTGTGATGCAGGTGGAGCATTATGAGTTGTTATACTTGGAGACGAGTATGTGATGGGTCTTGGTTGAAGACTTATCGGGATGTATGGCTTATGCATGAGTCTTGCATCGGGTTTGGCTTGAGATGTTTTTCCACTATGTCTTGATGGGGTCGTTTGCTGACTACGAGTTCTCGTCAAGGTGGAGATTGTTGATAAGTATTAGGTGACTCGTACTTCGTAGCTTTGTCCGCCCGATCGGGCGGACATTGCCCGGTCTGACCGGGCGGTGGGGGTTGGATACGTTGAAGCATTCGTATGGAGTTTTCTTCTCGCGCCCGATCGGGCAGACCTTGCCCGGTCTGACCGGGCGGAGAAGGAAAAATGCGGAGACGCGGATTTTACGATTTAAAGTTATCTTTTATGTTATCTTTTTGCCCAAGTATCTTTTATTTTAGGGATTAATATAAAACCTCCCTAATATTAGTATAAGGGTTAAGAGAGAGAGAGGGAGAGCCGTTCTTGAGAAATACAAGAATCATCTTTGTAATCTTTGCAGTTTATAGTGAAATCATTCGATCTCGGTGCCCGTGGACGTAGCTATCACATCGATAGTGAACCACGTAAATTCTTGGTGTTGTTCTTATTGTTTGCATTGAATTTCTTTATTGTTTTCTTGTTTGTTTTCGACCTTTGCTTCCGCTGTCGCACAACAGTTAAGTCGGTTATCATGATCAAGAAACAGAATGTGCCCTTTCTTGATTTTTATTATTTTCTTAAATTGTTGAATTCTACCTTTCGTTAATGGCAGGTACAATATAACTATTATTAAATGAGTTTTTTTTGAAAGATTTATTTGATGAATTTTTATTATTCCCTCATCGTTAAAGTATTGAATTGATAAAAATAGTTTTACTCCAAGTAAGTTAGCTAAATAACATTATTGATAGGTCAAATTAAACACATTTTTTTTTTCACATAATATTTTTAATTAGATCCATTTATTAGTGGTAGATATATATTATTAGTGGTAAACATATAGTTATTTCTTTTTTGGAAATAAAATATCAATAATCACGTTTTCCACTATTTTTTCCTTTTTATTTAGGAACCAAAATATCTAGTCGCATAAAATAGGTACGTTCTAATTTTTGTTACATTGAAGTTTGATTTTATCGAAACATAAGTTTAATTTAGCCTAATTGCTTCAAGGACCAATGCGATTAATAGTAAGTTAGACCCTTATTTATTGAATGTGGGTTGAGGTTGCATAAACAGTCAAAGTTAGCCTCAACTAACCAACCCTGGCCTTAAGGCGATTAATAGTAACACGCTTAATAGTAAGTTATAGAGTAATGAGATGAGAGTATTGAAAAGTAAAGAAATTGTACATAGAACATACTACATACTAATTATAAAGAAACAAAAACAAACTGCATAGTCTCAAATTTTATTAATCTTACAACTAACACACCAATGTTCACAGTCACACATCTAAAATTTCTAAATCACACTTATTGACACACTTAGTATCACTAACATACCTAAATTTGTTCAGAAAATTTCTGTACTATGACTTAAAACCAAATTCTATTTTTGCACTAAACAATCAAACTGATGAGTCTAAAATTTACTTTTCATTGTGTCTTCCTGTTGCCACTTCCCTCGTCGTAATTACTCCAATCAGAACCTTAGGATGCTTGCTTCCATCAGTCATGCTTCTTCAGAAGATAGAGCTATGTTACTGTCGTTGATGTCACCCTCAGAGTTTGCAGCAGCTGCATTACTGTTGTCGATATCACCCTCAGAGTTTGCAGCAGCTGCGTTACTGTTGTTGATATCACCCTCAGAGTTTGCAGCATCTATGTTACTGTCGTCTATATCACCCTCAGAGTTTGCAGCAGCTATATTACTTTTGTTGATATCACCCTCCGAGTTTGCAGCAGCTGTGTTACTGTCGTCGATATCTCCCTCAGAGTTTTCAGCAGCTGCGTTACTGTTGTTGATTACGTTACCATCAGCCTCACGTACTTGCTCTTCAATACCAACATTAATCTCGAGAGGTTCATTAATACTATCTTCTTGAGGCTCATCAAGTTGTGGACCTCCTAGTTCTATGTTGGCTACGTAAAACCTCAGTCGTTCCAGAGTATGAGACATCAACTCGACGTCTGCATTAGTATTAACTTCTGCAGTGATTACATCCATCATAGAAGAAATTGTATCAGTTCTGAGTGAAAATACAAAATCAGTATTCTTAACTTCAGTAGTCCTCAAGGTCACTGCCATCAGTTCTTCGTCTATCCTCTCTCCCTGTAGTGTGAATCTCCTATGTTCTGTAACGAAGTCTGTTGCAGATCGCGGTTGTAATACAGGCTGAGCTCTCGGGGGGCTAGTAGCTGGCATTGGAGGTACTTGCGAATAGCCAGCAGAAGGCGCAATCCTTGGTAACAGAAACGGGTCATTCAGGAGTTGAGTTATTGTAGGCCTAATATCTGCAGGATACACACACTTCTGAATGAAGTTCCTAAGCTGTCTGTCCTGTATTCTGTTTAACAGGATAAAATCCATTGTACGCAATCTTACCTCTGTCAACATCTGTAGTACGCACAACCCAAGACAGTATACCTCAGATCGCGCTATCATACGAGCATCATCATTCCCAGGACTAGTCAGTACAAGAGTCTTCGCGGCACTCAAATCTCCTAGCTTAATCGTGCCTGATTTACCAACAACAAAGATGTTTTCGCACTTGAGATCATTGTGAATAATCGGTAGATTTTGACTATGAAGAAAATCGAGCCCTGTCAGAATCTGTCGACACCATTTCTTGATTGCAGGACTATTTTCTTTAACCTGATGATTCCGAGTGAAGTCCCTCAAATTCCCAGAATAAAGCTCAGTAATCATGTTAAACTCAACTTTGGTTTCTAATTCGAATTTCTTTTGGACCCAAAAATAATGGAAGCATTTGATTATATTATGATGGTTAGAATTCCTCAACAACTCAGCTTCTGTAATCAAAGTATCAAGATTATAAGTTCTTAGAAATTTCTTACACCAAGCAACTCTTCTGCCATTAGTCTTGTCATATCCCAAATAAACTTCCTTAAGATCGCCCTCATCAATGCGCTTACTGTACCTTGTGTATTTCCCTGTAGGATCTGTCTCCCAAACCGTATAATCGTGTCCTCCTCGTGAGCGCGAAGCTGCCATAACTAGTTAATAACAACAGCAAAACAGAATTAAAGAAAGATTTGGAATGAAATGAAGCTAATTTTTGTTGGGTTATTAGGAGAGAAAATAGAATGTTTGAAATAATGGGTTGATGATGAAATGAATAAGTTAAGTTAGTTATCAAGATCAAGAATTAAAAAATGCCCTTTCTTGATTTTTTTTATCAATAATTTGCCCTCTATGTAATAATTATTATTTCATTTTTTTTATATTTAATTAGTAAATTAGAGATATTTACTATCCTTTTTTTTAAAAGTGTTTAGTAACTACCAGTAACAGAGATCGTTTTTTGGTGAACACTTATACAATTATTATTAATGTTTATTTAACACTCAATTTATTTTCAAATTCTGATACAAATTTTTTTTAGTTTGTCCATTAATCAAGATGGAAATGGCTGAGATGAGCTGATGGACCGATTTTTTTCTTTTTTTTTTTTTAAATTTATTTATTATTATTATTATTAATTTTTTTTAAGATAGCCCTTAGAGGTGGGATTACGATTATTCCCATATTTTAAAAGTTCAGACTATGAGAAGACTCCCAAAAGGTGGAATTAGTTTTGTAAATTTTTCCTTATTTTTTTCCCTTAATAGCATGGTTAGTTACTCATTATGTCACCTTAGGCCATGTTCCTTTTATTTGAAGAAGTCAAAATAATTTAAGTTTACTAAATATCAAGTCATCTAATGTATATTACAAAACACAATAATTTAAATTTAATTTTGTATAAAAACCAAACTTATGAACCATTAAATCCAATCAATTCAATTGATTACGTACTATATAATCGAATTTATTTGTAGTGTGTTGCAACTTAAGATACATCATATTATCGAATTACATATTAGATTGACCTTATACTCAAGATGACTTGACACAACAAAACTCGACTCATTGGTCCTGTTAACTTCACCCGGTGCACTTTAATCAAAGGATTCTACTCAACCAACTCAAATTGCTCACACTAACTTGATCCGGCTCAAATTGAACACTTTATTAAAAGAATTATAGTGACATAAATTTATAACCCGTGCTTAGTTAAAGGGATTTGTTAAACATCGCCCGCGTTTTTCTACATAAAGCCCACATTTTTTAAAAATGTTGACATTATTGCCCTTGTTTTAATTTTTACCGAAAATAAAACTTTTCACTCATAAAAAATGTGGAGCAGGACTGGATCGCCGAGTGAAACCGAAGAGCCCTCAACGTCGGGTAGATGCACCGGAGAGACGCCGTTGACGCCGGAAAAGGAGGTACGAAGCCATCTAAAACCACGAATTGGCGGCTGGCGTCCTGCCGGGACGCCGTGACCGTAGTGGTGGCGCCTAGCCAGGACGCCGCCACCGTGGCTCTGGCGCCTGGCCAGGACGCCGCCACCGTGGCCGTGGCGTCTGGCCAAGACGCCGCCGCCACGGTGGCGGCGTCCTGGCCAGGCGCCACCGCCACGGTGGCGGCGTCCTGGCTAGACGCCACCGCCACGGTGGCGGCGTCCTGGCTAGGCGCCACCACTATTTTTTTTTTTTTTTTTTAATTTAATTTAAAATTTGTTTATTTTTTTTTTTGTGTTACAATTTTTTTCTTTTTTTTTTGGTTTTTTTTTTGTTTTGTTTTTAATTGTTTTAATTTGTTTTTGTTTTTAATTTATTTTTTTTTATTTTTTTTTTTACAATTTTTTTCGTTTTATGTTTTTTTTTTGTTTTTATTTTTTTGGTTTATTTTTATTTATTTAATCTAAAGTTTTGTTTATGTTTTTTATTTTTGTGTTTTGTTTTTTTTTTTTTTTGAATACTTTTTGTTTATTTCTTTGTTTGTTGTTTATAATTTATTATTGTTTTTGCTTTTGTGCTAATGTTGTGTCAAATGTATTAATTTAATCTACTCTTATGTGATTATATTTATATGTTATTGTTGCAGGATTATGGTGGAGACGGAAATGATTATAGTGGGATTTTTGTTTAGTAGTAGCAACTCATAAATCTCAACGGGATGGTAGAATGGATCGCATTTTGAGATGCGACCGTTATCGCAAAAGGGAGGAACGAGATTTCAGTCAAGCGATTCGGTTTGATACAAAGCGGAAAGGTTGTGGGTGTCAGTTCAGAGTAAAGGTTCGACAACCGCAGACACAGTGGACGCAGATGATGTGCCAGATCTACTAACAAATCTACCATCTCTACCCTTACGCACGTCTACCCTACGCGTCTCATACACATCATCAAGCCTCTGACTGAATGGACCGTAATCATCATATGGTCCACTCTGATCGTCCACATCCTCATCTGCATCCTCCTCCTCCTCCTCCTCATCACCATCATCATCTTCATCATCCTCAGAATAGTGCACCCGTTCTCTACGAGCCGAGGCCGAAATACCACGGGATCTAACGTGTCTGGGCCCCGAGCTCTCCATTGAGTTCATCGTACTTCTCATAATGTCCATACTCTTCCCAGCCCCAGAACGAAAATACGATGCCTAACACAAAATAACAAAACATGTAATATGCAATATAAACATGTAATATAAACATAAAAAAAGTAATTAAAATAAATAAATAAAACAATATACATATGATGGAAAATAAATTAAAAACATTACAAAATATTAACAACCTAAAAATAAAAAAATTAATAACCTAATAAATAAATAAATAAAAAATTGGAAAAAACAAAGCAAAAAAAAAAATTACCCAAAAAAAACAAATTGGAAAAAACAAAGTGAAAAATATAAAATTATAAAAACTTAAAAAAAGAAGAACATCAAAATTTTAAAAAAAATTTATAACAAAAAAAAGGGAACATAAAATTTTTTTTAAGTAAAAAAACTAATTCAAAAAAAAAAAAAACAAGAACAATAAACAAGAACATAAAATTAAAAATTAAAAAAAAAAAAAGAGGAACATAAAATTTTTTTAAAAAAAACCAACAAAATTTAAAACAAAATAAAAAAAAAATCAGAAACATAAAATTTAAAATTAAAAAAAAGAAAAACAAATTTAAAAAAAAATCAAAAAAAAAAATTATTTTCGAAAATTAAATTTCAAATTTAAAACCAAAAAAAAATTAAAAAAAAAAATAAAAAGGCGGCGGCGCCTAGGCCAGACGCCGGTGCCGTGGTTCTGGCGTCTGGGCCAGACGCCACCGCCACCGTCACGGCGTCTGGCCTAGGCGCCGCCGCCGTGGTAGTGGCGTCTGGGCTAGACGCCGCCGCCGTGGTGGTGGCGTCTGGCCTAGGCGCCGCCACCGCCTCCGACCTTTTTTTTTTAATTTTTAAACACAAAATTAATAAAAAATACCTTCTCGCCGGAAAACCGCTGTCCACCCGCCGCCTGTGCCGCCACTTCCTTGCCGGGCCGCCTCGACATCGCTCGGAAAGTTTTTTAGAGAGAGAAAGTGGAAGTAGAGAATTGAGAGAAGAAATTGTGTTTTTTACTTTGAGGGCAAAAGTGACAATTCACTCTAATTTTGTGGGCTTTATGTGGAGATTCGCGGGCGATGTTTAGCAATTGAGTAGTTAAAAGACGAAAGGATTAAAAAGTAAAAATAATAAAAGGACATAGAAGCTATTAATTATACAAGAAAGAAAAAACAAATTGCAGTCTCTGCTTTTATTAAAATCTTATAAATAACACACCAACGTTCATATGTCTAAATCACACAATTACAATGAAAATTAATCAATAAACGAAACAATTAAATCCCAGTTGGACCTAAACTGAGAAATCATACTTATTGACACACTAAGTATCACTAACATACCTAGATTTATTCAGAACATTTCTGACATAAACGAGTCTAATTTTGTACTAAACAATCAAACTGATGAGTCTAGAATTAAGCTACTGACATGCCAAGAATTAACAGATTTCTGAAGCAACTATACTCTGTCTTCCTGTATGTTGCCACTTCCCTCATCTTAATCACTCCCATCAGACGTTTCACCTTCCTGCCCTGCGAGTCTTTCCACCATCAGTCTGGCATCTTCAGAAGCAGCAGCTGTGTTGCTGTCGTCGATAGTACCCTCAGACTCTGCCATCAGTTGGGCATCTTCAGAAGCAGAAGCTGTGTCACTGTCGTCGATAGCACCTTCACACTCTGGCTGTTCCTGTAGGAATGTAATCCGTGAGTTGTATTATTGCTCAGCATTGTTTATATACAAATACAATTATTCTAGGAAATACAACAAGTCCTAGGGAATGATTACATGCTTAATTACATTAACCTAATATAGACATACAATGGATATAGTCTAATACACCCCCGTAGTCGGAGCGGGAGGTAAACGAATGCTTAGACTATTGCGAAAGTCTTCAAACAAGAGCTGAGGGAGTCCTTTGGTGAAGATGTCGGCTATTTGATACCGAGAGGGAATATGAAGGACGCGAACTTGGCCTCGGGAAACCTTTTCGCGAACGAAGTGGATGTCCATTTCTATGTGTTTTGTGCGTTGGTGTTGAACGGGATTGCCGGAGAGATACAAGGCACTTACATTATCGCAATAGACCACCGTAGCTTTCTTAATTGGACATTGAAGTTCTAGTAGCAAGTTTTGTGACCAATAGGACTCGGCTACAACGTTAGCCACTCCACGGTATTCGGCTTCGGCACTAGAGCGAGAAAGTGTGGGTTGCCTTTTAGCAGACCAAGATAGGAGATTGTCCCCGAGAAAAATGCAATAGCCGGAGGTGGAGCGGCGCGTATCGGGGCAGCCACCCCAATCCGCGTCGGTGTAGGAAATGAGGCTTGAAAGAGAAGTTGGATACAAGTGCAGCCCGAGTTTGAGGGTACCTTGCAAGTATCGGAGTATCCGACGGAGGGCTTGCATATGCTCTTTGCGTGGATCATGCATGAAGAGACAAATTTTTTGAATGGCGTAAGAGATGTCGGGCCTAGTGAAAGTCAAATATTGCAAGGCTCCTGCAAGGCTTCGATAGAGGGTGGGATCCTCGACTGGTGGGCCGGAGGTGGTGCTGAGTTTGGCCTTAGAGTCGACAGGAGTCGAGGATGGTTTGCAAGACGACATATTTGCTCGGGCAATGATGTCTTGAGCATATGATTTTTGAGAAAGAAACATCCCATTTGCTTGATGAGATATAGAGATGCCAAGGAAGGAGCTCAATTTGCCAAGATCTTTCATTGCAAACTCCGAATTTAATTTGTGCATGATTGATTTTCGAAGTTTGTCGGAGGAGGCGGTGAGTATGATATCGTCCACATACAAGAGAATGTATGCAATTTCCTTCCCATGGCAATAAATAAAGAGGGAGTGATCGGCCTTGCTATGAACAAATCCAATTTTAGACACAAATGTAGCAAACCGATGGTACCACGCACGTGGTGCTTGCTTGAGCCCGTACAAAGCCTTGTTGAGACGGCAAACATGACCTGGGTTGGATTTATCTCGAAATCCGGGTGGTTGGTGAATGTGGGACTTGGGATGAAATTCCCAACAATCCTTCCCTCATACCAAGGACCACATCATCACTCATGGCCTTCCCTCGAAGGATGAACTCGATTCGTTATTCACCCCCTTTTCAGTACCGTGTAGACACCCATTTGTGTCTCCCCAAAACCAAACCCAGTGATGAGTACCTTTCACGTCGAATCATAATCGAATGAAACAAAAGTGTGGAAAGGTCTAGTGTTGCGGAAAGTTTTATTTCTTTTCTCTTCTCCCTGATTTTGAAAACTTTATTTTAAGAAAATAGCTAATCCAGTTTGGTTGGTCCATGATATGGGTCCAATAGTGGTGTATTTGGATGGGGCTTGCAAAGACCTTTCCAACGATATATGATAAGCCCAATTCCGATGAATATTGAGGAAGTTATGGCCAATTTACTAAACTGGACCCGGTTTGAGCTTTATGTACGGCCCAATGATCTAGGGGAGGGCCTAATATGATTTATCATTCCTAATGCAATTAGGAATGGTTTTAGCCTTCTAGAATCTTCTAGAAGGTTCTTTTTATTCCTAATTCAATTAGCATTGATAAGTTGACTTTGTTGTCTTTTCAGAGTTTTAATCAAGATCAAATAGCATTTTTCGAAGGAATTATATTATTTTATCTTCCAGTACGGTAAATTTATCAGATTTTCGAAAAGGTGTTGAAATCCAGTTTGGCGTCCAACCCCAGGCCTTGGCGCCTGGAACCAGGCTTGGCGCTAGGCGCTAGCCATTGGCGCCAGGCGCTAGCCACTAGTGCCTGGCGCCAGCTAGCCAGGGTTGGCGCCAATCCCGTTTTGCGATCGTCAGACTCTGTTTTGTTAAATTATCTTTTTTGGATGATTTTCTCTATAAATATCGTATCAAAAACTCTGTTTTCATTCACCAATTTCTCCTCATTCTTAAGTATTCACCTACAATTCATTCATCCTCTACATATTTCATTCATCAATTCTCAATAAACATTAATTCTTTAGCATTCAATTCTTTCTTGCTTTTTCATACAAAATTCCGCATTCACAAGATCTAGAAACACCTAGCCATATTCAAAGTTGCCTTCGCCCTAGACGTGAAAGGTTTTAATTTCTGAGGGTTTGGTCCCAAATCTCTCTTTCAATTATTTAATTTAATTGTTTTGATTATTATTTTTCCTTGAAGTTACTAACGTGTGTATTTTGTAATTAGAAAGAGGTACGAGGCATCAAAGTAAGTACTTTAATTGATTTATTGATTTTATGATGTAGATATCATGTTTATATTGTTATTATGATTCCTAGTATCATGTCTAGGTTAATTTTAATATTAAATATGATTGCTATGATGCCTTCTATTCTCTTCCTAATATTAATTCATGTTAGTATCATGTTAGGGTTAAAGATTTGATTTTTATTGCTTAGTGACATGCTAGGGTTTGTTATTAATCTTGTTAGTATCATGCCTAGGATCTTGCTATTTTTATTATGCTTTAATATTAACATGAACATGATTATGATTATAATTGTTATTATTATTATTTTGATGATGATTATTTTATTTATGATTATTATAATTATTTATTATGTTGCTTGATTATTTATTATTTATTGCTTGATCACACCTTTCATGCATGTTTAAAGGGAATTTGTACTTGTAATCACGCTTAATAAGATAATTAATAATCTTGTTTAGGGTTAATGTGATTATAAATTCAAGTGATCGCCAATAATAGTTTGTTTTTGCATTAATATTCAACCAACATAGATTAAACAGGTTTAGGGTTAATCCTATTGATTGCATGTTAATCAGAAAGCGCACATGAATACGAGCAGAATAAAGTAGAGGCCTATTATTAGGGCAGGTTCAATCTCTTTTAGGTTGGATTTGTACCTTCATCCCCGAACCCTTATTTGGTTCATGACCTTATGGAGTTGACGATCTCTTGGATCGTTAAGGGGTGTAACCTTCACCTTGTGAACGGTTTACAAGTTCCTTAAAAACTTGTTGGCGACTCTTTTGCTCTATCTTCTTCCCTTTTGGACGCCACCGTACTTTAGTGTATGATCACAGTGGGGTTCAAGCTAGTGGGATTTTAACGGTTTGAAATTATTCCCTACAGAAATAGTATTAATTTATTATACTGTTGATTCCTGGATTATTCAATTATATAAATCGTTTGATCGGGATGGAAATTAAAATTTGGTTCGAGATCGTCGTATGAAATTCATCCGTATTATTTGCAATTCAAGAACCTTATTTTTGGGGAAATTTATTTTATCCGTCAGTGTGCAATATCTGTGTATATTGTTGGAAGGATGAACTAGAGAAAAGAAAACCTGAAATTTCCAATGAAGAATGTCGGTGGAAGCAGTGCAATTCAGAAGTCTTTAATTTGGAATATTAATTAAAGTGGTAGATTATCAAAAGGTTGCACCTTCTTTAGAGAAGACTCCAACAGGATTTGCAAGTAATGTAATCGGTTATGGAGTGCGAGGATCGATGGGCAACAATGGAGTCGACTGTTGAGTTATAACTCAATAAAATCTGTCTAGCGAGTGAGCCGAGATATGCAATAATAGTTGGTCAGACCATTGCTCGTAATCAGATAAGTTATCCTTCTCAATTTATTTAAGTAATTTCTAACTCTACATAGTATTTGTGTCTATTATTATGTGTCCCTGTTATCTATGCATAATTTAATTATTATGAGCTATTGTTTAGCAATGTGGGGGTGTTTTGAGTTAGGTTTTTGTGACTAACTAGTAAGTTAGTTTGTACTCTTGTTGCTGAGTGGTATTGAGGAGGAAGGTCTCCGAAAGTGACGTTTATCTATAGCTTTTGGCTTGTTGTTTGCAAGTAATTTATTTCTGCTAATGTATGTTTCGTCCAATGGTAATTTATTTATGTTCATGGACTTTAATGTGTTTTGTCTTAGTAGATTAGGGATGACATGTGTTCTATCTTATGATAGTGTTTTTATTGTTATTTTTCCTAACCATGGACAATGTTTTGTTGAACACGGAGTATGTGACAAGCTTGTAAGTGCCTCATTTTTTAGATTAAAAAGGGATTTAGAATTATTGTTTCTTTTAATTCTTGTGATCTTAATCAGCTTTGTTCACGAACTTGAAATGTATTTAATTGGATAGAGGTGTAGCGATTATTTTTCTTGTTGATGGTCTAGATGAGACCAGGTTGATTTCCGTGCTTATTAGCAGAATAAAAAGGCTTGACTTAACTAAACTAGAATCGTCGTGCAAGTTTGAAGTGTAAGTGCCCCACATGAGGTAAGATGAGAATTAACATTCTATATGTCTTTAAACACTATTAATATTCTGCGAATATTAGTATTGTGGGGGTTGCAGATATGTATCAGTTGTTTATTTGTTTAGTAAGTATTTCATCCAAGAATTTGGTTTATACTCCCTAATTTGTTACCTGATTCATGATTATTTTCATGTGATATCTGTGATGTAGGGGTTTCCAATAATAAAGAATTGACTTCTAGATATGTTTCACATAAAGCATGAGGGCTTGTGGGAATGTGGGTGATATGTATGCTGAATATCTGCTACGTTTATCATGTACGAGCTTGATATGTTAAATCCTTGAATTGTCTCAAGTATATGTTTTCCTATGACATGACATGTTAGTTTTGCTCGTTCATAGGATTTGTTCTTGCTTCCTAAGATTTATCCTGCCAGTAAAGTTGATGAGTTCATCATCTAAGATGTATTGGATTAAAGCTTAAACTAGTTGCGTATCATCTTGATTTTACTTTCTTGATCGAAAGTTGTATGTGGATGTTTGTTGTGTGGTATATATTCATGTAGTGGTGAATGGAAAAATCCTGAACCATATGGATAAACCTGATTAACTAGTTGTGGAAAGAAGCATGTTAACGCGAGTTGTGCACTCTCTTTGAGTCTGATATGTTTGAGAGTAGTATATCTTTCCTTGCTATTATAAATCCATCAGTTGCAAGTACCTTTCAAGGTGAGTTGAAAGGTGGTTGATTGGAAATGGGCTAAAGGTAAGATACTATGTTGTTAGGATTTATTCTGTAAGTTTGGTGCTGACCAACTCTTATGACTCACCTGGTTTGTTCCAAGCTTGTCTGGTTTGCAGTAAGGTTGCTTAAGCATGATTGATTGTAAATCAAGGGTGTGTATTTTTAAAACGCATGCACAGGTGACAACTTAGAAGATGAGGTATTTTTTCTCATGATGTTATACCCTTTGTGATATGTATGGTGAGTGGGGGTTAGATTTGAGTACTCTAACTTGTTATGTTAAGTTTTTCTTAGCATGTGAGTTGAACTTATTGATGCATGTGTGATGTTACTATGGTTCGCATTGATAGAGTTCATTTGCTAGAATGATCATAAGTTGTTAACTTCACATGCATGTTGTTAATTGAGATAAAGATGTATATGTGTCTCTAAGCCAAGAGACAAGTACAAGATAATGTGATAAGCAGAATGGTTCTAGGCAGTATGCCGATGAACTAATAAAGGTACGCATCAATCTCATTATTGTGATGTAGAGAAAGTGGTTTGGTAAATTATATTTATCATGTCTAAGCCAGAGTTATTTTCATGATTTGGCCTTGATGTTTGATTCAAATGTGCTAATGTTTTGCAATCTAAATGATGAACAAACTATTCTTGACATGTAGTGGTTTTGTTGTAAACTATATTGTTCATTCTGTTTGTCAAGA